GAGGGAATGGGGGGTGGTGGATATATAAATATGAGTAATTAAAAATAATAAAAAATTAAAAATGTTAAAAAAAGAATACCCAAGTTGGGGAAAACTTTTGGCACATTCTGCAAAGAAACTTTTGTTTGCTATTACATTGTATCAGTTGTAGTGGCAGTGCAGCTAGAAAGCAAGGGAAGAGCAGTCATAGTCCCCTCTCTCTGCAAGCCTCCACTCCCTGGGGAGTCAAGACCTGGACAGTGCAGGGTGAGCCAGTAGCAAATAGAGTGGCCCTCCCTCCCCAGCTCAAGGTCCATTTAGAGAGGAGGGCCTTTTGCATGAAGGGAAGCAAACAGGTGGTGCTAAGCAACTCTACCAGAGATGTTGATGGGCACAAGGTCAGACTGCGTGGAGCAGGGCTGAAGCCAACGCTTCTCCTTTAGGATGGGTAGAGGGAAAGGGTCATTCCAGGCAGTTTGCTTGTCGGCTGTAGACAGGCTCAGGCAGGGCTCAGGGGCCCTCACACCCTGGGTCGTGATCTCATCCAGGCTCAGCTGCCGTTTTGCAGGCTGTTGGGAGAGAGGGTGATGGAAAAGGTGTGCTTCTGACTGGAGAGGATCTGGTGCCCATAGGATGGCTGCTTAGGCAGAATGGTTGGAGGTGTCCTCTTGAAGGCAGGAAAGCATGTACAGGCTGCCTGGCTAGGCACCTGCTGTGCAGGGCCCTTCCCAGTGGGACCTTGTGGTAGCCCTGCTAGTGAGCAGTGATGAGCAGCAGCTTCCAGGGAATCATATAAGCAGTTCAAGATCCCCTGTCGGTGGGTGCACGCTGGCTCTCCCAAGTTGGGGAAGAGGCAACTCACCATCAATATAAACTCCAGGCGCTTGGCAGACTGGGGCCTTGGGCTGGGAGTAGGCTTAGGGGCCTCATCAGAAGAGCGGAAGGTCTGCCCCAGGAGTCTGGCCTCCGAGTACTGTTCCTCATATTCTTCTGAAAAACAGCATAGTGGAGACACACTCTAGGGGGCCTCAGCCAAGTGCCAGGCTGGGGAGGACATGAGCCAGGCTCCTGCACTAAGCTGACCAGCCTGATTGCTTCTTTGATCTATTTCCTGGCCACTGGCCTCGGAAATGGAAAGTGCTCGGTTCCTGGGACCGTGAGGGCAGAGGAGGAAAGAAAGGCAGTAAATCCAAGCTGTGCTGCTTTGGGGACCATGCCCTCTTTTAGTGGCCCCCACCATAAGCACTCAACCAGGAGCCAACACTCAGGATGTAGGTACCCTGTGCTAATAGTTCCATTTTCTGAGACTCTGCAGCTCTTCCGGTGTCCTGCAGTGCTACCAAGGAACAATATGCATGAAGCAAGAAGAGATCCACACTGAGAAGTCCAGTCTGGAACTCTGTCTTGGATTGCAAGAACTTTACATTTTCTTTGTTTTCTGTGAGACAAAGTCTTGCATGTAGCCCAGGCTGGCCTCAGAACTCAAGACCCTCCTGTCTCCGTCTCTTAAGTGCTGGAATTACAGGTTTGTGCCACCATACCTGGCCGCAAGAACTCACAGCTGGTTTTGTTTCACTGTGGATAGGATCAGGTCTAGGGAGGCTGAAAGTAAGGCAACTGAAGGTGTTGGCACAGATGACAGCAAAGTTCACGAGCAACGTGAGGAAATAAGTATGTGTAAGATTTGAGTAGGGTTGACCAAAGCAATGGCTTAGATGAAATGCAGAAAGTGAGAGCTTAGAACAAACATTCAAGGCTTTGAGAAGACTCTGAATCTGGTACTGGGCTTTGCACTCATGGCTGATTCTTTGCATCCGTGTCCCCGCTCTATGCTCAGACACTCTTCAGCAGCCCTTCCAGGAACCCTTTCAGTCTCAGGACAGACAATTGAAGAACAACCCTTCCTTTGGATTGTGGCTATTGGGCATGTCAGAAGCTATTCTTTGGCGGTGGAATGTGCTCTCTCTGAGTTTCTGCTCCCTAGTGCTAATTTTGCTTTGGTGATAACAGCACACTCACCCCACCCCCACCTTGCACAGTAGCTCTTCCTTGCTGGACACAGGGCTCATGATTATCTCTCAGCATCTTGCTTCTCCAAGATCACCACTGCCCTTTACAGAGAGTTAGGGGTTTTGGCTGCATCCCAGTTGGGAGGCCCATCAGGTGTTTTCTAGTCTGTACTGGAGTTAACATTTGCTGCTATGGAGAAACAAGAACTGGTAAGACCTTTTGTACATTTAGTATTCATTAGGCACCTCTTGGGGCATCCAGCTCTGTGTTCAGTGTTCCTGAGTAACTTAAGAGTAGTAAAAGAAACTCAAGGGTAGCAAGAGCTAGCTTTTTTGTGGTGCTGGACATAGAATATTGGGCCTTGCACATGCTACCACTGAACTACACTGCCAGCTTGGAGATGTTATGTCTATGGAGAAGCTCATTATGATTGGCAAGTTATTCCAGGAAGAGTGTGTGGAGTCCAGGTTAGGAGTCCCTACAGATGTCCCCTTTGTTTTCTGGTGCCAGAATTCCAAGGCATGGGAGATGTGACAACAGGAGGGCTGGAGGGAAGGAGTATGGGTCTCCATTGAGGGGGGCTCCCATTTCCTTCTCTGTGAATTGCTAGACTTATTGCCCTGGCACAGCCTGCATCCTTTCCCTTTATGGACCACTGAATCAAAAAGGGAGGGGAGAGAGCAACAGCTCTGGAAACAGAGTCTTAGCATCATCAGTCTGGAAGGTGAAAAGAGAAGTGCTTTGGAACTATTTTCTTTCTTT